AAAAAGTTAGAATAAAGAAATCTCAACTGGACAAAAGCCATCTATAAGCCAACATCCATCATCATACTAAATGGACAAAATTTGAAAGCTTCCACTTTAAAATATGAAGTAATAAGATGCCTGCTGTCACCACTCCTATTCAGTATAAATCTGAAAACAGCAGGAGCAATTAAACAAGAGAGAGAGAAATAAAAGGAATAAAGATTAGAAAGGAAGAAATATAATTACCATTATTTGTAGATGACATGATGCTCTACATGAAAGACTACAAAAATTCCAAAAAGAGACTTGTAGTTTTAAAAACCAAATTCAGTAGTGTAGCAGGATATAAAGTCAACAGAAACAATAAAACACCAAGAGAAAAATAAAGGATACTATGTGTTTTACAATAACACCCCCAAACTGAAATATTCATGAATCAGTCTCACAAAAGAAGTAAAAGAAGTAAATATACAGTGAAAATTATAGGCCTGCTTAGGCAGACACAGGGACAGGGGGTTCGATCCCTGAGCTGCCTTGCCAGCCCTGCTCCAGGGTCACACTGACAGAGTGTGATTGAGACTGGTTGTGGTGGCATGCATCTGTAATCCCAGGGCTTGGGAGGCTGAAAAACAGGAAGGATCACTACAAGTATGATCTGTGTAGTGAGACCCTGTAGACTCTGTTCTAAATTAAGGGAGAGAGAGAGGGAGAGAGAGAGAGAGAGAGAGAGAGAGAGAGAGAGAGAGAAGATGCTCTCATAGAACTGAGTCTAGCTGTGTGTCTCAGCTTATCAAGTCCAGATCTACCAAGATGGAACTCACCAAGCTGGGCCTGGCTTGGATCTGGCTGCTGTGCTCTGTTTCTTTCTGCTGCAGCCCATGGAAGTGAACCTGCTGTGGCCCACTGGCAGGACATTCTGCTCCTGGATTAGATGGCTGGGTCTCAACTCCAGTCTCTTTGTTGGGAATTCTGTTGGAGGTTTGTGCACCAGGTGTAACCACTGAAGGAGGGTGTGACAGTTGGCTGGTTCATTCCACACAGGATTCTGTGTGATGGCTGGAGTGAGATTCCAGTGGGTGAGCCCCCAGAACTGTTTGATCACTGGACTGGAAAAATATAGGTGAGAATCCTATGTTTTGTTATCCCAAGTGACATGTTGTAGTCAAATTGCATGTGCAGTAAAAATACTGTAAGTTTATTTTCATCCTATATATGTTATTTGTTTATGTTGTATGAATTAAACAAAAATAATTTGTATTTAGGCCTGGGATTATCCACCAACATATTCATTATATATGTGCAAGTATTCACAAATTTTAAAATATCAAATTTGAAAATACTTCTGGACCCAAACATTTAGGCTAAGAGATATTCAACTTATACATGACCTGTGCCTGCTTGGAATCTTAATGAAAAGAGGGCAATTCTTTTAACAGTCTGCCAGCTAAAACCCCATCAGAGCCTTAATAACAGTTATCTTTATTACCGTGCATCATTTTATCATACAATTAACTTCAAATAAAGTGTGTAGAAAATTAACCTAAGTTTCTGACAACTTGCTTTTAACTTACTGAACTTTAAGTTGAAGGCTAACTATACATTTTTCTCCTATTCCCAGTTTAAGGCATTTATATGAATAATCATGGAAACAATTGTTGTAAGACTACATAACATTAACAACAACTTGTATACAATACTCTAAAGTTCTTACACTAGTGAGACAACAGGATGTTTGCATAAAGAATCTCAAAGAGTATTTAAAATCTGAAAGGTCAAATAAATAATGTGAAAGGGAAAGAACCTCTTCAAAGTGAAGGAAAATGGTAGTGATCAAAGAAAAAGGTATATTTATATGTATATACAAAATAGCTTGGATAATAGTAATGTTATCTCCTGATCTATTGAAAAGAGCAGTTAATGCTTAATTTTTTTTTCTTATTTTTAGTTTCTTATAACTTTTTCTTATTCTGACAGATTGTGAGGTTAAGCTCATCTGCTTATGTTATAGGGTAATAATATCATTAAGCTTCTCTTCTGGAAGGTTAACAACTTAAGTTTGCAGACCAAAAATTAGAGAAAAAGAAAGGCTACAAGAACAGCTAACATTTTGGCCCTAGCCTTTCAAGGTCAGCAAGGATTCAGGACATAGGAGAATCTGTACTGCAGCATCTTGTATTTCAGTTGTGTCCCAAATTTTCTCATCAAGGAGATTATGGGGCTACAGAGGAAAGTGATTGATGATGTGGAGTAAGTCTAAGGAGAGCCAAATGTAGAAAAAACATTCTCTGAGGCTTTCACAGAGAATAAATTGGTCAAGCAATGGCCATGACTCATCCACATGGCTGAAACTGCCAAAGGATCTACAAACTCCTGTACAGGGTTTCAGAGTAAATCTTGAGGGGATTTGACTGACCTTGTCAGATACAAGAGTTACATTTCTTGTTGTATAGGTCTTGCTTTATCTCTATCTTAACCACCCAGCAGAAAAGTATAAAAAGTAAAACCATGTTAATACCCTGAGATGTAAAAAGCTCAAATCAACAACTTCTGACATTGCCAGTCCTATGGGTAACCCACTACTAATGGACTACTGGACTATATTGGAATATTTTGCTGAATTCATGCATCTACAATGTTTAAATGGTGATGGAATACCCTTCTTAGACAACTAAACAAAACAAGGAAATACAAATGAAGGACCATTTTGTATCAGTATATACAAAATAGGATAGCTATACAGTTACTTTTAATTCAAGGAATAGAAAGATTTGTACTAATAGCATTTGTGGACAGGCTATCATGTCTGCATGTCATACTATGAATAACCACTAAGAAGACAACAATATGCAATATATTAATTTTTGAAACTGTCCTACTAATCAGTTTTGAAACTGTCTCATTCCTATTTGTTTTTCAATAAAATTAATAAAAAATAAAGAAAATCTGAAATCATAAAAGAAGAAAACATTAGAAACTATATAGAGGGCCAGGGAGGTAGCTCAGTAGAATACTGCTTTCCTGGCAAGCACATGGTCCTGAGTTCAATCCCTGGTACCACAAAAAAAAGAAAGAAAGAAAAAAGAAATGATATATAATTTCACTGAACACAAATAATAGGAATTCTACAGTGCTCTTAATATTACATAATATTATTTTCAAGTTAGTTGTTTAGATTACCTGGTATAAACATGCAAATAAGGAAAAAGAAAAAGAAAACACATTTTATGCTAAATTGGCATACTTACATCTAGTAATGTAAACAACTAATTTGAAGACAACATTTAATGTTGGTGAATTTTATTGTTGAGTTCCTTTTATTTTGTGAAGTGAACTTCTGTGTTGTTTAAGGGGTTTTAAATTATTTTTTATTCTCTTAAAAAAAAGATATATACTGCTTACATTTATGGTCCCCCTAATGTCTCTTCTGGACAGCTCTGTTCTCACATTTATATGTCCAAATTATTGAGACAGAGCATGGCCCTTCTACCCGCTAAGCCCAGTTACATCAAACTCCTTTTCACAATGGAGGAGCTTTTGGATCCAAGGTAGATCCATCCAGATTCCATTATGCCTGATGAAAACACAGTACTGCACAGTATATGAAAGTCTGTTCATCCACCAAGATTTGGTACACATCAGAGGATGTGATCTTCCATTGTTTTTTTGGACACAAAATGACACCTTTCTTTCATTTTACCTCTAACAATTACATGGCTTCTAGCAATTTTGTCTAGCACTGTGCAGGAAGCTCCCTGAGATGCAGGCCTGGCTTCTGAAGGAGACGGCTGTTGCTTCCTTAAGCTTTTTTTTTTAATTTATTCTTTTTTTTAAATTTTATTTATGTGTGTGTGTGTGTGTGTGTGTGTGTGTGGCCAGCTCAGCCCACCAGGGGGCGGACTGGCTGACATGTGGTGCTGGGGGATTGAACCGTGGTCCCTGGGCTTTGCTAAGCTTAGTCTAAGTAGGTGCTTTAGACCACTAAGCCATGTCACCAGCCCCCCCTTAAGCTTTTGTCTTTGGCATCAGAATGTGAACCAAAGGAACACCATGAAGCTTGCAGTTCTGCAGGAATTTTGGAATGGAGTACTCCTGATTCAACAGACACTTCTGGCATCTGAGTCTTTACTTATTGAGGAAAAGCTTTAATAGCCATCAGGGAAGGAATATTGCACACCCAGGCAAGGTTAGAGCTGTGGCAGTTGCTAGAGAAGAGTGTGTAGGTGGAGGGGATATCAATGTGCTCTGCTTTTTCAAATAGTGTTTTATGTGATCCCATTTGGTTCACATAAAATCCTGGGAAATATCTCTTGTTGATTTTTAAGTTTATTTTTTATTAATCTATGTTTGTGATATGTAATGATTACTTTTGTCATCAGGAATTGGTGCATATACATATGACCTCTTAATCAATTTACTTCTCTTCCCTCACTCGTGTTCCTCCTGATCCCCAGCCTTCAGAACTCTTCCTGTCTCCACAATCAATTTCCCAGTTTTGTATTATTTCCTCTTTATTTTGTCCTTGAAATTATTCATAGTTTGGATTTTACATATAAGAAAAATCATTTGTACTTAATCTTCTGTATCTGATGGATCTATTTTTCTGGTTTTTTGAGGCAGAAACAGTTTCTATTGGGCTCAGACCAGAAGTCTATAGGTTGAGCAGTAGCTCTTACGCTGGAAAGATCGCGGAAGACGAGCAAAGAAAAACGATCCCCTTGGTTCCAGAAAATCTTCTGAAAAAGAGCAAGGCTCATCAAGCCCTCAAAACCACCCAGGCAAAGCAGGCACTTTTGGCAAAGAAAGAGGAAGGTAAAAGAGATCAGATTTCAGCGACTGGAATCTTTCCTTCATGATTCGTGGCGGCAGTGGTGTGACAGGTGCGCGTGAAATGACTAGAAGTGAAACCTTGCACTTTGGAAGCACCTGACGAACATTCCTCGGGCCGCAGCCTGCGGCTGGGAAGGGAAACGCAGTCAGCAGCTCAGGGGAAGCGAAGCTGCAGTGGTGGTAGTAGGAAGATGTCAGGCAAGGACGAGCAGCAGGAGTAAACTATCACTGAAGACCTGGCCATGACCAAGTATAAGATGAGGGGTGACATCGCCAACTGGGTACTTCAAGCTTTGGTGGAAGCATCCAGCTCAGGTGTGTCAGTATTGAGCCTGTGTGAGAAACGTGATGCCATGATTATGGAAGAGACAGGAAAAATCTTCAAGAAAGAGAAGGAAATGGAGAAAGGTATTGCCTTTCCAGCTAGCATTTAAGTAAATAACTGTGCCAATTCTCCCCTTTGAAGAGTGACCAGGATTATATTCTCAAGGAAGGTGACTTGGTAAAAATTGACCTTGGTGTTCATGTGGATGATTTCATTGCTAATGTGGCTCACACTTTTGTCATTGGTGTGTCTCAGGGAACCAAAGTAACAGGGAGGAAAGCAGATGTCATTAAAGCAGATGTCATTAAGGCAGCTCACCTATGTGCTGAAGCTGCCCTACGTTTAGTCATACCTGGAAACCAGAACACACAAGTGACAGAAGCCTGGAACAAAGTTGCCCATTCATTTAATTGCACACCAATAGAAGGTATGCTGTCACATCAGTTGAAGCAGCATGTCATCAACGGAGAGAAGACCATCATCCAGAATCCCACAGACCAGCAGAAGAAGGACCATGAAAAGACTGAATTTGAGGTACATGAAGTATATGTTGTGGATGTTCTTGTCAGCTCAGGAGAGAGCAAGACTAAGGATGCAGGACAGAGAACTGCCATTTACAAATGAGACCCCTCCAAACAGTATGACCTGAAAATGAAAACTTCACGGGCCTTTTTCAGTGAGGTGGAAAGGTGTTGTGTTAGTTGATACGTTGTGTCAACTTGGCTGAATCAGCTCCCGCAGCATGGGGGCCTCACCCTTCAGGTGGGCAGGGCCCAGGAATTGAGAAAGGCAGGAAGCCGCCCTGCCTGGTTTCCTGCTGCCCCACCCTGCTTCCGTGGAGAAGTCTCAGTCTTCGGAGGAGCTTGACCTTGCAGCCTCGCTACTTTGGAGGAGCTCCGATCTTCACTGTGGAGTGCTGGTCTTCGCAGTCAGCACAGAAGGAAGAGAGAGGCTTGATGGACACCGCTGCAGCTGCTGCTCCTCCTCTGCTCTTCATTGTTTTCTGCCGCTTGAACTGCTGTTGTTTGCCTGGGAGCCAGCGGAATATGGACTGAACCCTCCGGTAACTGTGAGCTAAATAAACCTTTCCTTCCTTCCTTTTGTGTGTCGCGTATTTGTCCCAGCAACGAGTAAAAAGTAACTAAGACAGGTGTTTTGATGCTATGCCATTTACTTTAAGAGCATTTGAAGATGAGAAGAAGGCTTGGATGGGTGTGGTGGAATGTGCTAAACATGAGCTGCTTCAACCATTTAATGTTCTCTATGAGAAGGATGGTGAATTTGTTGCTCAGTTTAAATTTATAGTTCTACTCAGGCCCAATGGCCCCATGTGGATAACAAGTGGTCCCTTTAAGCCCAACCTCTACAAGTCAGAGATAGAGGTCCAGGATGCAGAACTAAAGGCCCTCCTTCAGAGTTCTGCAAGTCAGAAAACCCAAAAAACAGTGGAAAAAGGAGGCCACCAAGATTGCAGAGAATGCCACCAGTGGGGAAACACTAGAAGAGAATGGAGCTGAGGACTGAGATGGGTCTTGTATCCCCAGATTGCTGCTCTTGCCTCATCCCTTCCCACTACACCTAGGCTCTGTGAAGTGCAATCTGACATCTCCACCCAGGACCACCAGCAGAGTGGGGTCTCCTTGCCCCCCCAGCCCCCAGCCCACTCTCTCCACACCAACAACCAGCTCTACTGACTCTGGTCTTGGGAGGCCAGGCTTCCCAGCCACCTAACACTACTTTAAATAGAAAAAAGGAAATTGAATAATAAAATCAGGAGTCAAAAAAAAAGAACATTCCTTGGCCTTTGTTGTCCACCTCCAAAGTATTAATGGGGTGAGTTCACCAGTACTGAAGTAAAAAAAATAAAGAATATTCCCTAGCCTTTGTTGCAAGACTTCACCTGAAGAAGTTGTTCAGTGGTGTCTTTGTTAAAGTCAACCCTCAAACTCTCAACATGCAGATAGTGGAGCTTATGTGACCTGGGGATTTCCAAATCTGAAGTCTGTCCAGGAACTCATTTTGAAATGTGGACAGGACAAGGTCAAGATTAAGACCTTCCTGCTGACGGCACACTTGGGCAAGTCTGGTGTCATTTGCCTGGAAGACCTCATTCATGAAATTGCCTTCCCAGCAGCACATTTCCAGGAGATTGTGTGCTTCTTGCACCCTTTCCACCTGTCTGTGGCCTGGCATGCTACCAAGAACAGAGTGGGCTTTCTCAAGGAGATGGGCTCACCTGGCTATTGGGGTGAATGCATCAGCCAGCTCATCTGCCCGTTGAACTAGTTTTGAGGAAGAATTCCATTGTTACCCATCATGCCACAGCTGAAATCAACACTTGCTGTGGAGGGAGAGGTCCTGTTTTGTTGCATCTTCTCTCCTGGGGTTCACTGTTAGTGAATGAGCAACCTAAGGAGGGTACGAGGCTCCCTAAACTATGACTTGGAGCAGTGGACCCATCCCAGAGGTGTACTTATGTCTGGAGCCCCAGGGCTTTTTTGTTTTGTTTTGGTTTTCTTTTGCAGAACCAGGGATTGAACTCAGGCCCTTGCATTTGTCAGGGAGGCACTTATTCTACTGAGCCATCTCCCTGCCCCCCCCCCGGGCTGTTTTGAAAAGACTGAAATACAGTTATAACTGTCTGGAAAACAAGTATTCAGCTATCTCAGCTTTGTGAAGTCTCAGACTTGCTTGGTTCATGTGGCTTTTGTACCTTGGCTTGGAACTGACTCGGCTTCTTTTCTCTACCTCAGAATTTGGGAAGAGACCCAGGCATAGTGGCACACACCTGTAATTCAGACACTGGGGAGTCTGAGGCAGGACGATCACTGAGTTTGAGGCCAGCCTGGGCTACAAAATGAGTTCAAAGCCTGCCTGGACTGCATAGTGAAACGTTGTTTCAAAACAACATAAATAAAATAAGAATTTGGAAAAGAAAAAAGAAAAAAATAAAAGAAGTCTGTGGGTCTTGAGGACCTCAGTGAACTTGCTGATTTTCTTCTCCACATTCTTCTCAGCCTGTTTCCATAGCCTCGTGACCTGCTTCTTTTTCCTGCAGTGGATCTTGGCCTTTTCCTTCCTCTTCTCTTCTAGGATAGCTGCCACCACCTGGTATGTCCAGCCAACCTCATGTTCCAGTTGGCCCAGGTAGGCAAATTTCCTCATTGGCTTTAGGCACACAACCTTGAGGACAGCAGGAACCACCATCTGCTTTTTCTTGTCATAGGGTGGTGGGATCCCATCAAATACCTTGAGGCGGTCCAGGACAGGTGAGCCTAGCTTGGTTTTGTGGTGTAGCATCCCTTGCACAGTCCTCCAGAAGATGTGGCTGGGAGCCCAGAAGTGGTAGGTTCTGCACAATGGGTTGGTGTTCATCCACTTGTGGAGGAGGTCAAGTACTTCAACTTGTTTCTGTAGAAGTTGCCAGAAATGTTGATACCCTTGCAGCACACAACCACCACCTTGTGGCTCAGCAGTACCTGATTGACCACAATGGCCACCAGGCTGGCGAGGAGATAGCCTCAGCCATCCAGCACCAGGACCTGCCCCTCTGCCATCTTTGACAGATGCCCAGGAAAGCCTATTTTCCTATAAGTCACTCAAATTTCTTCTTCTTTATGACTGAGTAGTACTCTACTAAATGCATACATCATGCTTTATTTATCTATTCATCTGTTGATGAATATCTAGGCTGATAAATAGTAAAATTTAGCTATTTGGAGTTGTACTTCCTCAAACATGAGAAACTGAAAATATAAATGAGGGTCATCTATCTATAAAAGATAGATGATGAGAAATAAGGAGATAGATTTTTTTTGCCGAAGAGAAGGGGGCAGGGATGGAAAGAAGGAGGAGAGAGGTAAAGGGAAGAGGAGAGAAGGAATTAAAATGTATCATGTGCCTGTACCACTTTTCCTTGAGGAATGTAATCATTACATAATTGAAATGTCTGCTGATGAAAATTTTAAAAAAATTTCAAAAACTATAAACATACACAAAACATGAGTGCATAGTGTCACTGTAACATATAACTTTAATTCTACCAGAAAAATACACAAAAACAGAATAGAGCGTTCAAATGAAATTTGTACTTTTAGTTTTTTAAACAAGCATTGTACTGGTTTTCATAGTGGTTGTACCCATCTCCATCCCCACCAACAATGTAGAAGCATCCAGTTCCCCCACAATCTTAATTTTTTTTATTTTAACATTTGTTTTGTGTGCTTGCGTGTGTGTGTGTGTGTGTGTGTGTGTGTGTGTGTGTGTGGCCAGCTCAGCCCACCAGGGGGCGCGGCTGGCTGGCATGTGGTGCTGGAGGATTGAACCGCGGTCCCTGTGCTTTGCCAAGCTTGTTCCAAGTAGGTGCTTTAGACCACTGAGCCATCTCTCCAGCCCCCCCCCCCACAATCTTTCTAGCCCTTGATTTTTTAGTTCTTGATGATAGTCAGAAAATCCCCTTTTGTTAAAGTGGAACCATAAAACAGCTATCAGTATTTCTTCTATGAATCAGATTTGTAGAGTAAACCCATCAGAAGATAAGAGAACAAGAGGAAATGTAATCTGCTTTATTTGAATTTATATAGACCTCCTTGCAGAACTAAACTCTAGATATCTTTTAAAATTTTCCTTATGATAATAACAGGATAATTTAAAAAGGAAATGCATAACAAAACCACTACTATTTATGCTGCCTTTTAACAATGACAAGGGTTAGTCATATAGGTTGGCTCAATACCATAGGATAAACAATTATTATTCTGGTACTAGATTTTTATTTACATTTTTTACAGGTATGAAGTATGGACCTTTTGTGAACATATTTTTTGAAGATAGATTTTAATTAATATGTAATATTTATATATATTTATAAAGTATAGTGTGTTATTTCAGTGCATGTATACTGTGTAGTGATCAACTCAGCATTAATTGTTTTATAACATTACTTTAATCGTGCATCATCTCCTTATGGTAAGAATATTTAGCACTCAGTTATTTCAAAATATGAATTAATAGTCATCAATCATAGTTATTCTATTGTGCTGTAGAATATTGAAGTTCACTCTTCTTGTTCAATGACCTGACTGCATTGTGCCTGTGGTAGTCAGATTTCCTGCTGCAAGGACAAATGCCTGACATACACAATTTGTTTCATAGTTTCAAGTTTTAGTCCATGTTTTCCTGTTTCCATTGTTGTGGGCCTCAGATGAGGCAGAACATCATAATAAACAATGTGATGAGGGCTGGCCAAATAGCTCAATGGATTAAATCACCTGCTTAGGCACATGCAGGCACTGGGAGTTCGATCCCCAGGCCTGCTGTGCTGGCCACATCCCTGGGGTGTGCTGAGGTGGTGATTAGACTGGGTGTGGTGGCAAGTGCTCATAATCCTAGCATTTGGGAGGCTGTAAACAGGAGGCTCACTAAGAGTCCCATCTATGCAGTGAGACCTTGTACACTCTATACATCTTGTCCTAAACACAAAAAAAGAAGAAGTAGAAGAATGTGATGAAGCAAACTGCCACATTATGGTGTCTTTGAAGCAGAGAGCTGGGGACTAGCATCCTAAAGGAGGTGCACAGGGGACAAATCTAGTCCCCAAGGTCATATGCACAGGACTCACTTTTTCCAGTGAAGCTCTGCCTTCTAACAGCCCAATCAACTAATCCATTGGTGTGATTAATGCTATTTATTTATTTATTTATTTATTTATATATTTATTCTGTGGTACTAGGAGTTGAACTCAGGACCCTGTGCTAGCCAAGCAAGCGCTTATTCTACTGAGCTACCTCCCTGGGACAAATGCCCTTATGATCCATTCACCTCTCCAGAAATTTCATAATCCACCCAATCATGATCAGACAATATATTTTCCAATGATATTCTCTTCATATTTCACTTTACTCTTGCTAAATTCTGGAAAATGCTATTTTCCACTTGAATGAAATCAACTCCTTAACTTCCACATATAGATGAAAACATGCAATATTTGAGTTTTTGTGCCTGACATTTCACTTGACATGATGTTCTGCAGGTCTACCTATGCTGTTGTGTAGGTATTTTCTGACCCCAGCACATAAGATAAGATTCTAAAACTTTGGATCAAACTGTAAATAGTGATGCAATAATCATGCCAATGCAGACACTTTTGGTTTTCATACTGATTTCATTTATTTTTGGATATATCTCAATTAATGGGACACCTGGGTCATACAGAAGTTTTATTTTTTTTATTTTTTATTTCTTGAAGCCTCATTTCTATTCTCCAGATTGGCTCAACAAATTTATATTCTCACCCACAGTGATAGATGTGGTTATGCATCTCCTCATACACTTGCCATCATTTGTTACTTTTGCCTTTTTTATAATAGGGATTTCAAATGGAAAGAGCTCTTCATTCATTTTAATTTTTTTTTTTTGATTGGGGATTGAACTCTGGCCCTTGAGTTTACCATGGAAGCACTTATTGTACTGAGCCATCTCCCTGGCTCATTCATTTTAATTTTAATTTTCCTAATGATTAGTGACGTTGGATTTTTTTTTTACTACTTGTTAACCATTTTTATATCCTTTTGTGAGACTTTCCTATGCATATCATTTCCCATTATAAATTAGATTATTATTGTTATTGGTGTTGAGTTGTTTGCAAGTAATTTTATTTTTCATCATAGTTTTTATATTCATGTTCCAAGAAATTTCTTTTTTTTGAAATAAGTTCATATTTGTTGAAAAAGTTCTGATATAAATTATGTAATAATCATGTTTTTGTAATATCCTCGACTAATTTATAATTTCAGAAATAAGTTAATGTAATATGGTTTAAAACTTGTTCCTATTCACTTCAGGTTACAGAATGAAATAAATAAAATGTCTTTGTAGGGATGAGGAGCACTGGCCATGGCAAAAAGTACAGTACTAATCAAAGAAAACTAAGTCAAGGCTACTGTGCTGTTATGCTACAAACAAACATCTTCATACATTTGAATATTAAATAAATGTGTAAGATCTTCCATATTGACACCAGAATTCAAAACTACCTCTTGTTCCTCAAGTATATTTGCAGCTTATCACTCACCTTATGAGCATGTTCATTAAGACAGGTATCAAACATCAATATTTACTCTTTCCAATCAAGAAGTTTCAGGGAAATGTCAGCCTTCCCACTCTTGAAAATGTGCACAAAACTTTTATCAAAATCTTATCTGAAGGAGCCTGGACCTAGCTCAATCCTTTAAGTGGCTGCTTCCACAAAGCTGTCAGCCTCAGGTGGCTGGAGTTCGAACCTCACAACTCTCCCACTGGCCAACGTGCCCTGAAGGCATGTGAGGACAAAAGAAAAAAAAATCTTATCCGATACAATGGTATGATTTTGTGAGTAACTAAATAACTCAGACGACAAATAACATGATCGTATTTAAGCATCTTGCCAGCAGAAAAGCCCTTACATACAGTATACCTGGTGAAAGATCAGCTTGCTTTAAAATATTCCAGTACAATTTATAGAGTAAAACACTTTACAGAAGTTAACTCAAATTTACAAAAGTCAAACCAATCTTTTTTTTTTTTTTTCAGAACCGGGGCTTGAACTCAGACCCTTGCACTTGCCAAGGAAGCACTTATTCTACTGAGCCATCTCCCCTGCCCCTCAAACTAATCTTAAAGAAATAGAAGAAAAAAAAAAGACTAACTAGGGGCCGGGGAGATAGCTCAGTAGAATAAGCTTTTGTCTCGCAAGCGCAGATTCCTAAGTTCAATTCCCGGTATCTAAAAAAAAAAAAAAAAAAAAAAAAAAAGACAACTGGGGCATAACTGGTTGAACATACTACTGCAAAATTTTAGATGCCAAGTCAAAATAATTCCAGTTACACTATGCTAGGGCAGATATTATTTATGTTTTTAAATATGAGTAAATGTTAGCCATTGTTCTACTATAGCATGGTTCATAGTCTTATCAATCTACCAGTTAGGAAAACAAAAAACAAAAAAATTAACCCCCAATGTGAAGTAACAGTAGATGACACTTAAACAAGATAATGCAATGAACATCTAAATTAATTAGTTTAAATTAAAAACCCAGCAATACCATCTTGTTAGTCAGAGCAAATGCTACATACAGGGGTTTCTCAAGAAAGCATTCTTTTGCCAAGTTAACAGATTCTATAATGTACAGGCTTAAATCTGCATTTTATAAAAAACTGCCATTATATTAGTACATAATTTATCAAAATTGTAGAAATGATTCTGCATAACTTAGGAGAATCTAACATCTATTACATCAGCTGAAAGACTTAGGCACTTGGTTATATTTTTAATTTTAATTGCTTTAACAAGTAACCTATGCATAAATATTAACAAAGCAGAAGCTATTCTTGAAAAACCTAAAATTAAAAAAAAAATGCTACAAATAAAAGCACTGCACCACACTCCTACACATAATATAATAAAGAAACCTAGTATATAACAATGTAAAACTCTGTAAGAATATGTAACTCCACTCTTCAAAATTAAAAAAAATTAGAAAAGGAAAAATATCCATGCAAAGTCCCATGAAGAAGATAAGTAAAGCAGATAGAATGAGATGGAAATTTCTCTCAGTGAAAAAAACAAATCAAAAATAAATAATTAGTTCTACTTTCACAGATGTATCATTGTAGGATCCTGCTAGTTTAGTAACTGAGTTATTGATTTTTCTACAAAAGCCATTTAAAATAGGAAATGGCTCAGATACTGCACCAGATTGTTACAAATTCATGAAAATCTGCTTTAAGCTTAAGTTAAATGTTGTCCAAATTTCAATCACTTCTGGAAAGTGAACATGTTACCATACTAAAGTAAATTTTCTTTCTTTTTCTTTTTCATAATGCTAATGCAAAAGGGCTTGAAGTATCAAAGTGTCCATGGGAAATAGATGATCCAATCCTCCATGTTGTGGTTACAAATTTGAAAGATAAGTCTCTTTTCAGATGCTAACCATCTTCCCATTTGCAATAGGTTTTAAAAAGTCATTTTTGTCTTCAGATATAACATGAGTTTACAGAGTGATGTTGCCAACACTGACAGATGTGGTGATGGGGAGGCAACTTTCATTACTTACAGACATGGGGAATGACTGACTAAAGCAACAAGTCACCAATGGCTCTTTTTGATGCTGTTGAATTAGATGCCCATTTTGCACTGCAGTACCATTCAGCAGCTGGTTATTTTGAGCACTGATACCAAGTTATAGACCAAGATCTCTTCAAGTTTTTCACTTTGTCCATCAGGTTCATCAGTATCAAGTGCTGAAAGCTCTAACTCAATATCTCGATGAAGCTTAGTATCTGCCGTATCTTCTGTATAATCACTCTCTCCTTTTCTCAGCTCAATTTCCTTACTTAGAATATTTATGGCAAGGTGATGGCCTTCATCCAGGAAATTCCACTTCTGTTGCATGGCTAGAAGTAATGAGCTACACTTTGCCTGCTGAAGTTCAATTCACAGATAGTCTCCAGTACTGGAATGCTTTCTATGACCAGATAGATCAGTAACAATGAATCTGTCCCATTTAAATATAATGTGTTAATGATGTGGCCTCGTTGACATATGAACTCCACCTTGAATAAACAGCATTAACATAAGGGACATAAACTGATACACTGACAGGCTTAGTTACACTTCCTTGGGAAATGAAATTTCTGTAGTGCATTTTTTCATATCTTTGTTTCTTTTTTTTATTTTAAAAAATTGAAATGAATTTTAATACAGAAAATGGAGACAACGTTTTGCAAATTTACCAAAGGAGTATCTCTATTTGAGGAAATCAGCGTGCTACACTTTGAAAGATGAAATGTTAGCTTGTACACCAAAATTAAAAAATGAAATTAAATTAAAAAATGAAATGGTTACCAAGGTAATGCAGGTCAGGGGATCAAAGGTGAAGGGTCACACATTATTAAAAAGAAATCCAAAAGGATGGCTGCATCATGATCTCTCATTAGTGTTTCATCGGTGCCTCTCTTTTGGTAAACTTGAACATTTCAGCAGACATTCAAGCAGCTTTTTCGGTAAAAAGATTTTTACATGACTACTATTGCTGTTCCCATGATCATCTCTCAGAGTACTGAATCCCTGAAGATCACTGCATCCTCTTCACAATGCTGCATTCCAGGTGCGATCTCACGGGGCACCCTGATTAAGGTCAGGCTCTCCACTGTGGGCTCCATGAGGACAGGGGCTCCATTTGTCCTTCCCTTCTGGCTTGTTTTTGGCAGCCATTTCCCCTCCGCGCACCACATCCTCCTCCTCCTCGCGACGGGGACCCCGAGCGCGCCTTGTACCGCCGCCGCTGCTGGCCCAGCCACCCCGCCGCCGCCGCGCACCCGCCTTGGCCCCGCCCCACGGCCCTCTTTGTTTCTTAGGCTGCAGATCATGGGATTAATGAGTGGGGTTCCTACAGAATAAAACAAGGTAACAAGCTTTTGCATTACGGCTTCATGCTCAGATGTTGGGCTGAGATACATAACCATAACTGAGCCATAGAATAGTGAAACTATAGTCACATGGGAGCCACATGTAGAAAAGGCCTTCTTTCACCCTGCTGCTGAAGGAACTTTCAAAACAGCTCTGATGGGGCCGGGGAGATGGCTCAGCAGAATAAGCACTTCCCTGGCAAGCGCAAGGGCCTGAGTTCAATCCCCGGTTCCGCAAAAAAAAAAAAAAAAAAAAAAAACAGCTCTGAGAACCAGCACATAGGATACCGTAATGCACAGGAAAGGAATAAACAGGAGCAGAGAACTTATAATTGTCCAGAAGAACTCCATCATTGGGGCTCTGGAACAAGTGAGGGCTAACCGAGGACCTGGGTCACACAGGAAATGATCAATTATCCTGAAGCCACAGAAAGACATCTGTGAAATGATAGTGATGGGTACTGGGAACCAGAGGAATCCAAGAATCCAGCAGGTAACTATAAGATGGGTGTAGAGATGTTTTGTCATAATGGAAGTGTAGTGCAGAGGCCTGCAGATGGCAAGGTAGCGATCAAATGCCATAACTGCCAGGAAGAAGGATTCTGTGGAACCCAAGGAAAAGAAGAAATAGAACTGGAGGAAGCACCCAGAGAAGGAGATGACCTTGGTGTCAGAAAGGAAGTTGGCCAACATGTTGGGGACTGTGGAGGTGACATACTAGATCTCCAGGAAGGAGAAATTGGCCAGCAGGATGTACGTGGGTGTGTGTAGTCTCTGATCCCAGTGCACAGCACAGATGATGGAAGCATTTCCCATGAGAGTGAGGAGGTAGACAGCAGAGAAGAGCACAGAGAGGAGGATCTGTCCCTCCTTGGGGCTGGGAAAGCCCAGGTGATGGTGCTGGAGTTGCTGGGGATGTTGAAAGTTTTCATCAGTCTGTGAACACCAATAACTGCTGAATATCCTGGGAAGAGCAGAATGACGTCATTTTGTTGTTGTTGTTGTTCAAGATACAAACATATTTGTTTGCTCAATATTGAATCAATATGTATTGGGTATTTACTGTTTGCTAAGTATTTTTTCTAGGTACTTTATATATTGCAGTAAATAGGTAAAACACCTACTTCATATTGCTTGCTTTCATTTCTTGAAATATCGACACTAGATTTACTCTTTCTTTGTCAAACGCTTTTCTAAGTGTAAAGTTGATTCTTTGCAGTCTCAGAGTATTGTTTTGAAAGTGTTTGGAATTAGGCATCATTTTTGCATTGAGAAAGTTTTGAATTTTTAAAAGATGAATGGATAAGTGTATTTACTTATTACTTGCTAAACTCATCTAATGCAGCTGCTGATAAGTGAATGCTTTGGTGATTTAGGGAAGGAAATAAATGGGAGTTTTGAATATAGGTTGTGGCTTAGTCACAGGTGCTTACTTAATAAGCACAAAGTCCTTTTTTGATCCTCAGATCAACACTATCAGAAATGAGATATATTTTTTTTGCATTTTATGTATTTGGTACAGGGTCTCACTATGCAACTTGGACTCATAGTGATCCTCATAGTGATCCTCCTCAGGGCTGGGATTACAGGTGTGCACCACCACTCCTGGTCTTGGTGGTTGACATAATGCATCTTGGGTTCTGGATCTGGTACAGCATGTGGTACTGTGAATGGAACCCTGGTCCTTGTGCTTGCAAGGCAGATGCTTAAATGATGGAGCATCTCCCCAGCCTAGAAGTGGAATTTTTAATGTCACTTAAAGTATTACTGAACAATAGTTGTGTGTAAGCCTCACTTGTTAATTCAGTGGCTATAATACACTCATCTACCAGTTACTTAGGTAAGTCTTTCAAATTTTCTGGAGTAAACAAATTTAAACAATAACTTTAGGCCAACTTGCTAGGTAACATAAACATTGTCAATGATCTGAGAGGATTCAAAAGACTTATTCTCTGGGATAAAGATGAACTAGTGACTTTGAACTCTGAATTAAGGACATTACTTGATTCCCATGACAAAGGTCACTCACAGGTCCGAAAGGAATTCCCAACACTCTAATAATCTCTGTTTTTGTATTACTTCAGAACATTTCTGTCATTAGCTTGATAAGGACAGGGATTGGATGAAAGCAACTTCACTTGAAGCTCAGTCCTCTCTACTTCTACATGCCCTTGTTAAGCTTTAAATAATTTTTTTGGAGATTCAGATTAAATTTCAAATGACTGTGTATTTATTTCTTGTGAAAGGAACTGAAGTTAGAGCCTAAATATCTCCTATTTTTTAAAAATAACTCAGTATTTCACTGGTTGAGGATTTAAACAATCAAATGATAAAAAGATTTTTGTCTTTTAAAGACCTCTCCCATTTCAATGCATTTCTTTTTTCTTTTTGTAGATTATTTTAAAATCCATTGTTGGATCATGCAGGACAGGGCTTACTCATGAGTGGCAGGAAGGACATAGAGCAAGACTTGATGTTACTGGCAAACTCAAGCTAACTAGTCTGAGAAATTTTGTTTTTTGTTTTTGTATTTTAGGGAAGGGTCTACACAGTGTTCAGGGTGTCATTACTAGGTCAGAATCATGCTCCTACTGTCTACAGCCTCCCAAAAGCTGGGATTACAGGTGCTAGGCACCATGCCCAGTCTCAATTGCTGTTTCAGTGTGCCCCTGGGGCAGGGAGGGCATGTCAGGCCCAGGAATCAATCCTGTGCCCACTTGCAGGCACTTTAATCTGCTGAGCTATTTGGCCAGCCTTCAGTCTGAGAAATTAATATAGCACACAAAATGTAGAGTCCCTGAGCTTATAAAAATTTTAATTTTAATTTGGTTTTTAGATGGTATATGAAATCTATTGTTTAATAGTAGTAGTGCTACATATATCTTTGGTACCAGGGATCAAATTCATGATCTTGAGTTTACTAGGTAGGTAGGCACTTATGCCTCTGAGCCATCTCCCCATCCACCCAATTGTACACTTTGGATCTGTGTTTATTTGTTGGGGTTTTTTTCCCTATTGAATTTCAATTTGTAGACCATGATCTATTTGGCCATTTTATTCCTTGAAAGGTAAATATTTGAGTAAATGTTTGAGGATTTTCTTTTTCTTTTTCTAATGTCTCTTCCTTTTCTTTTATCCTTCATACTCAACCCAGCTAAAAATCCTCTTGCTTCTATTTCCAGTGTATCTCATCATGCACCTGCTTGGACTATTTCTCTTCTGGATGCCCCTCTACCATGCCCCTTTCTTGAAACCAGACAATTATGAACTAAAACTGGCATAAAGTATGAGCTAAATGAACTTTCCTTCTTTTAAGTTTTGTTGTCACGTGTTTTGTCTCAATGATGAGAAAAGTATCTAACACTAAATTAGATACTAGAGAATTGGGGTCACTGCTATGGCTGTTTTTAGCCATAAGGCTTAAGAGACTTTGCAGCTGGTTTGCTATAGAGAAAAGAGTTAGAAAAGGTTTGAAGATGATAGCTGAAAAGCTAGGGTGTGAAAACTGTAAAATATTCTTGATGTCATTGTATATAACTTAGTCAGAAATATTATAGGCAGGGGCTGGGGAGATGGCTCAGTGGAATAAGCACTTCCCTGGCAAGCACAAGGGCCTGAGTTCAATCCATGGTTCCACCAAAATTAAAAAAAATTTAAAAAAAGAAATATTATAGGCAGTCAGACAGGTCTTGGTCCTTGAGGGAACTGGTAAGAGATACAAGATTCCTTGGAACTGTTGGAGAGAGAGACATTTCTATTGTGGGCTTTACCTCAAAGAAAAGAACACACAAATAGATACCACTCTAGGGATAAATATCAGGGATTGATATTCTCAGTAGCTCTCTATCATCTTGAGAAAGCCAGGAAGAGTGACTAACCCAACCCCCTGTAGGAAAAGTCCCTGTTCTGTCTTTTTGTCCACTTGCTGTGTTACTTGCTTTTTCATTTGATCTCAATGGAATACATTTCACTTGCACAATTATGCTTGCAATCCTGTTGATTGAACATAGTTTTGTCCCACCTAATGTTTACTTTGTGAGTTCCCATGTTTCCTAACTTAGGAAAAATGAAAAAACAGAAAAGACAGGTTCCTTGTCAAATTACTCAAGAACTCTTCTGTCTCCCACAAGGAAGCTTTGTTTCCATTAATAAATATATTCTGCTCCTAACCTCTATTGCTTCTAAAATTCATGCTTAAATTTTAGAGAAGAAGAACTCATCCTAGCCATCTTTCAGGTTGGAAGTTTTTTCCCCTACATCAATGCGAGAAGTAAGTCTGATCTCAAAAGACCAGAATGCTGATAGAAATGCTGCTCATACAGACAAGGCCTGTGAAGTTTATACTGGGAAGAAGATGCATTCATTATTGGATTCCAGAATACATCGGCAGAAAGTTTGTCAGCATTTTGTTTATGCCTAAAGATTTTGCCTGAGATTAAATGCAGCTGATTAGTTAATCTTGCAGAAGAAATTGCACAGCAATTGAATGTTGATTCCATGGAATGGATACTATTAGGGGATTTTAACCAGGTCTGTTTTGAAAAAAAGAGCAAAGAGTCCAGCAGAATAATTAAAATGCTTTAAATTTGGCCAGAAAGGAAGCACCAGTTAGGTTTAAGCCTGCAAAGATGGAATATAGAAGTAACTGGTTTTGGAAAAAGACAATCATAGAAAAACCAAGCTTTGGTCCTAGCCCAGGTCCTGTGAGTGTGTGGAGAGCTTCCTGCTACCCTGTGCCAGCGGGACCAGTCCCAGCCCAGGTGCAGGGTGGGCTGGACCTTCTCCCACTCCCCCGGGCCACCCCCCACCACTCCGCAGTACCTCCCCCACCCTGCCCGCCGAGTAGGAATTTCTGCCGACTTCCAGGAACCCCCAGATACAGTCCTAGCCCA